GGGAGTAGGAGTGGAGGGAGGGGCTGTGGGTTACCGTTTCTGCTGGAGCACTCTGGTGGTCGCCTTAACACTCTATGTCCACCTGCAGCTGGCTAAATGGAAGACTGCTGAGGAAGTGGCGGCCCTCATCCGCTCGCTGCCCGTAGAGGAGCAGCCCAAGCAGATCATCGTCACCAGGAAGGGAATGCTGGACCCGCTGGAGGTGAAGTAACCTTCACTGCGCACTTTATGATTATTTGTTATCTGTGTTATATTGAGGGCCAAAGGTCCATGTTGGACAGAAGAGCGGTTGATGCGTGAGGTTGTGTTTTGTTACTGTAATCAGTTATTGAGTGCTGAGATGAAACAAACGCTACCAGAATCTAAAGGGCATCTCTTACCTTGACACAGCCTCCATGAGGAAAGTAATTTCCCACTCATATGGTAGATGGTAAAAAGTGCAGATTAACAGCCTTGCTTTTAAAAGGGGATTTCATGAAGTGTGGGAAGTCGATGGGCGCGGAGAATTTCCTGGCATTGACTTGAAGGCCTTGTGCTTTTCAGGTCCACTTGCTGGATTTCCCCAACATTGTCATCAAGGGTTCTGAGCTGCAGTTGCCCTTCCAAGCTTGTCTGAAGGTGGAGAAGTTCGGAGACCTCATCTTGAAAGCTACTGAGCCTCAGATGGTCCTCTTCAATCTCTACGATGACTGGCTGAAGACAATCTCCTCCTATACTGTAATAAGACATGTTCTAACTCAAGGTTTCTCAACCCGGTCCTCGGGGACCACCAGACGGTCCACGTTTTTGCTCTCTCCCAATTCCCTGCCAATTGGGAGAGAGCAAAAACGTGGACCGTCTGGTGGTCCCCGAGGACTGGGTTGAGAAACCTTGTTCTAACTCATTTTAGTTAGTTGACCTGTGGGTCGGAAATGCTTGCATATCTTTGGTCAGAATGGCCCTGCTTACTGCTTGCTGACGATCCTCTGTTAGGCATTCTCCCGTCTCATCCTGATCCTGAGAGCCCTCCACGTGAACAACGACCGGGCCAAAGTGATCCTAAAGCCCGACAAGACCACCATCACAGAGCCACACCATATCTGGCCCACTCTAACCGACGAAGAATGGATCAAGGTAGAAGTGCAGCTCAAAGATCTCATCCTGGCTGACTATGGCAAGAAGAACAAGTAAGTCTGACCTTTTATTCAGAGTGCATCTTGGGAACAAATAATGTGTTTTGTGACGCTTCACAAACCCCACAGATGATGACTTTGGGCCTTATCTGCTCCCTTCATTCCACAGTGTGAATGTAGCATCTCTGACCCAATCAGAGATCAGGGATATCATTCTGGGAATGGAGATCTCAGCCCCATCCCAGCAGCGGCAGCAGATTGCTGAGATCGAGAAGCAGACCAAAGAGCAGTCTCAGCTGACGGCCACGCAGACCCGCACCGTCAACAAGCACGGCGATGAGATCATCACCTCCACCACAAGCAATTACGAGACACAGACCTTCTCCTCGAAGACCGAATGGAGAGTGCGGTGAGTCAGACATTAAGCCCTGGCTGTTTTGTCCTCTGCAGCGCCACTTGTCATTAAACATGACCGTGTTCCTCTCACAGGGCCATCTCGGCTGCAAACTTGCACTTGCGGACAAACCACATCTACGTGTCATCCGATGACATCAAGGAGACCGGTTACACGTACATTTTGCCCAAGAATGTGTTGAAGAAGTTCATCTGCATCTCTGACCTTCGTGCTCAGGTCTGTGTCGAGCTGTATATCATTTGGATGTAGTTACTAAGCTTCTGCCATTTTGAGTTCCAAAATTTGGCTTTTCATCTCGCCTGAAGGGTTGTACACACACCCTGTACTGTGTAGTCGCTTTATTGTTCTTCGTGCATCTGGTTGCAGATTGCAGGGTATCTGTATGGCACAAGCCCTCCAGATAACCCCCAGGTGAAAGAGATCCGCTGCATCGTCATGGTGCCTCAGTGGGGGACACACCAGACTGTCCACCTGCCAAACCAGCTGCCCCAGCATGAGTACCTCAAGGTGAGGTGCCAGTATCCTGGAACTGGCTGTGTTATAGTCCGGCATGGATGTACCTGGATATAAATTGTAGGGTGAAGGCATCTTTAAAGTACTTTGTTTGGATGCTTCTGTGACCCTCGCCTACGTCGGCTGTAGTTACTGGTGGCTCACGGACGCTTACCTTCCCAGGAAATGGAACCTCTTGGCTGGATCCACACCCAACCCAACGAGTCCCCGCAGCTGTCCCCACAAGATGTCACCACGCATGCCAAGGTCATGGCCGACAATCCCTCCTGGGATGGAGAGAAGACCATCATTATTACCTGCAGGTATGGCTGTTGTGTGGTAGTGATTTCTACAATAACCAGAAGATTCTATAATATGGCGTTTCCTGCTGAGGCCCAGCATACAGATGTGTGGCTATTCTGTATGCTTTACATTCGTTTTCATTCCAGCTTCACCCCTGGTTCCTGCACCCTGACCGCCTACAAACTAACCCCCAGTGGATACGAGTGGGGCAGGCAGAACACAGACAAGGGCAATAACCCCAAGGGGTACCTGCCCTCACATTACGAGAGGGTGCAGATGCTGCTGTCCGACCGCTTCCTTGGCTTCTTCATGGTGCCTGCACAGGTGTCCTGGAACTACAACTTCATGGGTGAGGAGACTTTCCCATGAAAAGCATCAGCAGCAGTGCTCGCAGTCTTTTATCGGGAGCCAAAGGACCTTGCATGCTCTGGTCTGTGTAGCAGTGCTGCTTCCACTGTGATTGATTCTTTGTCTCCACAGGCGTTCGCCACGATCCTAATATGAAGTACGACCTGCAGCTCTCCAACCCCAAGGAGTTCTACCACGAGGTCCACCGACCTTCACACTTCCTGAATTTCGCCTCACTGCAGGAGGGCGAGATCTACAACGCGGACCGTGAAGACATGTACGCTTAATACGGCTTCTGTGGTGCGAGATTGACTCGAGGAGCTGGAAACCTTGACAGACCAATTCAATGATGCTCTTAAGTTTGCTGCGGGAAATGAACCATCAGAACGCTGTCGCTGTCCATAGTGCTCCTGACTTGTAGCTTGGTAGCCTGTGTCGCTCCCTTACAGGAACCCTGGCCTTTCTGGAAAACCTTTGTAACTTCAGCATATTTTGTGTATATCATTGAGTCACTGTACTTTTCATTGGTGCCAGTGCAACTTTGTGTTTTGGTTGGAGATTTTAAATATAGTCCTCTGGTCAGGTGGAAGTCCCACAGTAAAATTGCAATTTTGTGTTTTACAGAAAAATTTGATCCAGTGTTGGGAATACACTATGCTTTGAGTTTCAATAAAGACTTTTTTTAAGTATATTTTGTGTGTGTTCAATGGATCAGTTCAAGATTAAATTTAAATTTGTGGGAGAGGAAACATGCCTTTGTGTAATATGACATTTTTGGTTTGGTTGTTTCAAAAAAGGCAGGTCTTCAGTTTTTAGAGGTTGCCTGGATTTCTGTAAAGAGTCTGGATGGACTTAAGCTGTATTCCATGATTCACAAAAATGTTTATTGGGCAAAAGTGATATTGCTTACCAAACTACCTGCCATGCAGTTTTTATTTTTTATGCGATGTGATTTTCAGATGAACATAAATTAAGGCGCTATGGGTAACAGACCAACAGTGCAATTAGGAGATGAAAGACAAGCAACACGAGATCGAAAAGGAAGAAGGTGCATAATGAAGGATCATTAGCTGCTAATGCTACTGTGTGTTACAGAATAAGAACTCAGTTTTAAGTACAGCTGCTTGTTAACCTGTGGCTGCAATAAAACATTCAGCTTATAGACAAGCAGCATCTTTCACGGAACAGGATTTCTTGCTTAACGTGTGAGATTTAAGGTAGTCTGGGCTAGATGGACTTCATGTTTCTTCATTTACATGTAACATAGACAGCCTTAAATACAAGTTATCGGGCTAAGCAAGAAATCCTGCTTTGTGAAACTGCTCCTGCCCAAGGTCAGGACGTTTACTTGCTGTTATGCTCAGCACTGGAATAGTCAAGATTCCTGATCTAAATGATTTTGAACACGGTGTGATTAGTTCCAGAAGAAGTTGATTCCAGTTTCTCAGAAACAGCCACCATCCTGGCAATCTCACATACAGCACCATTTAAATTTAACAGAGATGGTGTTATTGTGGCTGAAAACGGGAGAGGTTAGAGAAAGATAACCAGCCTCGTTAAAACTAACAGGAATATCACAAGTGGAAAAACGAAAGTTTAGTGCAAACGAGGTGTGCATAAATACGTCTCTGATGAACTTACAACTTGCGTATCCATGAAGTGGATCCTACCCAGTATTAGCTGGTGTGTACAATCAAGTGACTACTGAGCATAAATATGGATGGTACATATTTTTAATATTATGTGTACCAAAAAATATTGTTATTGCATGCAATTTTGATATTAAGTTATATTTCCAAATTAGGCTAGAATGATCTTTTTATAATCTAGAGCATATAATGTAATTAATAATCTAATAATACTAATCATATGCATTTACCAACAAACATCCCAAACAATTCAACTGGATTTAGTGAATATACAGTGGCCGGAAACATAGGGGTTCAGAGCAAAAAGCTCTTCCGCCTGGCGCCGTGGCTTAGTTGGTTAAAGCGCCTGTCTAGTAAACAGGAGATCCTGGGTTCGAATCCCAGCGGTGCCTTTTACTAAATACAACTGTAAATACGAATTTAAAAAGTTTGCCGAATGTTATGCCTCCAGTGTGGTTTGGTTCGTCATTATACCAATATACAAGGTATCGTACGTGCTGTGACCTTTCTCGAAAACCTTACATAGATAAACTTTCTATGCTGGACAGACAAATATAACCCATAACGAAAAAAACACACACATTTCTCGAAACTGCATCACACTAAACATTTTTTTTTATCGCCGATAAAAAAAAACAGTCGAATACCGCTTTATCTTGATATCCGCGCTTGGTTGTATGCTTCGCCTTACAGTTTGAAAAAGCACATTTTCCATGACAAAAAGCACTCGGCAGTCATTGGTCAGTAAAGACGTGGGAGTTTTCGGCGAAAAACCCCCTTCGGCTGGAGCTGGTTGCGAACCGGAGATTATGAAGTGCAGTCTGTCTTCAAGTGTATGTTGTACGTGACGTGTGGAGGAAGCTCTGACATAGCATCTGAAGCCTGGTTTGAAGCTTTCCCGGGCAGTTTCATTATGGCATGGACACCACCATGAAGGCGTCTCACCTCCCTAATTGGAAGAGATTGGGTATCTCGTTTCCGAGCCTAAAATAAAAGCGAATTGAGGGTGAGGCTGACATGTCCGCCGGGTGATCGCTGGGGGCCCCATCTGCTTTCACTTGCTGTTCTGCTTGCGGTGAGCAGCCAGAGAAACATGGAGCAGCAGGTCGGAGGAGGCAGCCTGGAGAAGAGCTTCAGCGCCTTGACGGTGGACGACGTCTACGACATCGCTAAGCTGATCGGTTCCGACGTGGAGAAGCTCATAGACAGCTTCGGGAAAGCTAGCGTGGAGGGCCTGGTGCGCAAGATCGTCAAAGTCTTGGAGTTTCTCGAGAGTTCCGTGGCCAAGAACCAGGTGAAGTGCAAGGAGGAAGAGTTTCTAAAAGCCTACGAGACGCTGCAGCTCCAGCAGCAGAAGCGGGCGGCGAAACCATGCGAGGGGGCGAAGGTACGAGCAGGAACGCTGGAGTGAAATTTCCCTGCCTTTTATACCTCTGTGTCCCACTCCACAGGTCCAGAAACACTTGAGCTTCAGGGTATTACGCTGTGCGTTTAATCTCCACTCCATATTCAACTAGAAAATACTGACACTTTGTTTTAATATTCTTATACAGAATGTACAAATATACTGATAGCAAACATTTCATGGGAGAGTGTTAATGTAATTCTCATAATACTCAGGTAGTACGAAACGAAGTGAGCTTGATTACCAACTACTGTAGCTATCTGTCTTTATATCTATAGTTTATTGCGTAACATAAGGTTATATAACATTTTATTTCTCCGTCCATGTGCATTTTTCTGTGACTCGGGTTGACCCAGTGTAAAGTTTCGTATCCCCTTTTAAAGACAACTGCAATAATACGATCCGAAAGACATTTTAAACACTATATTGTCAGAATATGAAGCATGTATAGCGGTGACGATCGTTACAGTCACGGCTGTTGGGGGTATTTTTCCACAAACATGTCCACCGGTTTCCCTTATCTCGTATCAAGTATTTACATGTGCTTATTAAACAACTTCTATCCCTCTACTCGTAATACTACACGTCAGTGGAAAAGACGTTTTAATTGCAAGGTGGCTGGTTTAATCCTCATGCTTAATCACTCCATTACATGCGACGTGCACTTGTAAACAACACTGGAGTAATTCCGAGAATTAATCGCTTTATTATGGCACATTATGGAGTATTTATAGCATTTGCGTCGGTTAAGTAGTTTTTGATCAGTTCGACTAAGTTGTGATATTAAGCACTGAAAGTCGCTATATATGCTCAGTCTTGTAATCGGAATGGGGAGAAACTGGGTGACTGACTGCATGATCCGATCCAGAGGCTCGTCGCTCTCTCCGGCAGGACCTGGAGCAGGAGTTGCGGAGGACGTCAGAGGAGCTGCAGGCCCAGGTGTCGCAGCTGCAGGAGGAGAAACTGGAGCTTCTGGAGCAGCTCAAGTGCAGCCAGTCCATGGGAGGTGGGAGGCTGGGGCAGGGTTTAGGGAAGGCACGCTAACATGCTAATCATGCTAACCACAGAGGCACTAATATAACACCCAACTTCGTTGTGGACCCCCACCACAACAGCTGTCTGGAAGGTCACAGTACATTAATCTTTTACACTGACTGACTAACTAGCTAAAACTAGTATGTGGCAGGCTGTCATGCCCCCTGTGCCCCTCCCATAGACCACACACAGCGACAGGAACGTGAGGTGATGCTGAAGCTGAAGGTTGTGGTGGACAAGCAGCGCGACGAGATCCGGGCCAAAGCCCAGGAGACTGACCGGCTGTCTAGGGAGGCGGAGGCGGTAAGAAGATGCGTCGCATTCCTGACACCAACACAACCGCAGACACGCATGCGGGCACACGCACTGCACTGCCCTTCAGCGGCTGATGCAGCATGTTTATTGCCATGGGGTTTTCCGGAACGTTATGACACCTACAGCAACTCTGCAATAACAATCATGTGCCCCCCCCAGCTTATTCAGAGCCCCGCGTATGTCTTCCTAGCCCATGGAAAGTACGGGATGTGGCCTTGTGGCAGTGTGACTCTGTGCCTCGCTGTCGCCCCCTACCTCCCCGCAGCTGCAGGAGCAGCTGGATCGCTTCATGAGGATGAATGCAGAGCTGCGGCACAAGCAGAGCGCTGCCCAGGCGCAGGTTCAGAGCGCCATGCAGCGCCGTGCTGACCTGGAGGCCGACCTGCACGAGAAGGAGAAGGAGATCGAGCGGCTGGCGGCACAGCTGGCGGTGGCGGAGCAGCCGGTGGGGACTCAGGGGTGTGTGTGTGTGTGTGTGTGTGTGTGTAGGGGCATGAGTTTGTCTGACGACACTGCCGCATGCCTTTATCACATTCCAAGTTTTTTTTATTTTTTTTTTTTTTTTTTTTTTTTTTTTTTTACATTTCCTTAACTGCGAAAAGCAAGCGACACTTAAAATGCCTTCGTTTTATATCAGTTTTATGATGTATGAGGTTGTAGGATTTTAGGATCTTACAAATGGCAGCTAGATTAGATATCGAGTGGATATTTCCTGAAGGGTTAAATGCCAGCCACTGGGTGTGTGATTTGTTGGTTTTAATGCATTTACTTTTTTCATATGACAATAATATGCATACGGTGTTTTTAACCAAGGGGGAGACAGCATTTTTTAAAGTTTTCATTTTTTTGCTCCCCCCCCCACTCCCCCCATCAGATAGGGTTAACAAAAACAGAGATTGATCTAACAGACAAGATCATCTTCGACCTCAAAGACCCGAACCGGCCCTGCTTCACCAAGCAGGAAGTGCGGGACATGATTTTTGAGAGGAACGAGCTGAAAGCCAACCTCTTCCTGGTGCAGGAGGAGTTGTCCTACTACCAGAGGTGACCTTGGTTGAGCTACAGTGTTTGGGGTGGGGAGGGGGGCGCCGGAGCATCGGAAGGGAGGGGGGCAGCTGATCATCAGCATCTGCTGGTCCGGTAGGGAGATCCTGAACGACGAGCGGTGTCCCGGCTTCCTGCTGCATGCGGCGCGCTCCGCCATGAAGAAGCAGAGGAATGTCATCAAGGCCAAGATGCTGGGCATCACTGCCGAGGAATGCAGCAGGTATCCGGGAGGGGGTAGGGGAACAATCAGATGGTGGGGTGAGATAAACATCAGACGGTGGACAGGGTGGGTGGGGGAGAGATTAATATCAGTCAGCAGATGGGGTGATAGAGGAGAGATGAACATCAGATCAGATGCGGGGGACATCATAAACGGTCGATTCCAGAAGGAACTTCAGGAGCTAACCTGTCCTGTTTCGTCTCTCCCCAGTGATGAGGAGGACAAGGAGCCCCTGTTCAAGGGGAAGGAGGCGCGGACGGACACGGACTGTGTGGATGGACGACCCCCGGAGTCCCGCATCAGGAGCCTGTGAGTGTTGGCTTTGTGATTCTGTGTGTTTGTGAACCAGAGATGTGAGGGAATGTTTCTTTATCAGGGTAATTTCCAAAGTATAATATACAATGCAGCCAGTGTCACGGCAAGGTCTTGGCTGCAGAGTTATTGCACAACTTACTAAATTGCCCCGGGTTTTAACTGTCTGTTTGACATGCAGATAGTGACTGGCTTTTTTGTCGGTTTACTGCGGTATTGCCGCGTCGTTGACTCCCGCCCCCCCTCCGCTTATCACCCAGGTTCGGTTTCCTCACGCGCTCCAGTGTTGGGCGGAGTCCCAATGAGCAGAATAAATCTTCATCCTGGGAGATCATTGGTTCAGACGAGACGGAACTGGCCAGTGAGGACAGGGGACGCCACCTGACCGCCGCCCCATTGAGCCTCCATTAAGCTGCCTCCATGTGGTGAGGACAGGAGCTCACGGAGCTGCAATAGAGACCCGCCTCAGAGGTGCTGCCCCCCTTTGGAGGCTCACAACACTGCCTCTAATAGCTAATTGGAATGTTATTTTTAAAACAGAAATTCCCATTTGGTTTTATAACTTTTTAACTATGTTAAACATGTGGCATAAAAATATATATTGTAATATATATTGCTGAACATGTGTTTAGTTTGATACACATGTGGCAAGTATTTATCTGGGTTCTGTAAGCTAACCAAAGACTTTTTTCTTGCTTGGTAGTATTTGTGTGTACCAAAGAGGGAAAAACTTACCAGATGTAGTGTTTTGTCAGACAATCGTTTGTTCCGCCTCTCCATGAGATACCAAACGCGTAATGAATGTCCTGCAGTCCATGTACATTTGTTGTGATTTTTCAGTGCTTATCATTTCTTGTTAGTAGTCGGGAAAATTAATCAATTTTATTACGGGGATCTTCCTGTATGGCATCGCCTGTGCTTTCACTGTGTTTAATTCTGTTAGTGTGTATGGGTCGTTCTCAACTTTACAAGCACTCAGTAATGGAGAACTCGTAAAGCGGGAAGCATTTTCCCATACAAATGTTATTAAAATGTGGACTTTGGGTCCAGGTGAAAAAATGCATCATAATGTTTTGCCAAATAAACAAAGGAAACATTAAACTTATTATTAGAATTAACATTTAATCAAAAGTATAGGCACATTTAAACAAAAAAAAATCCTTGGAGGAAAAACACTTCTTCCCTAAAAATGTAACATTTACAGTCAGTTTTGGTCGCCTTGATTTTCAGCAGGTGAGGTTTTCATGTATCCCACTCGGAGCTTGGGGAGATCACTCACACACTGTAAGTAAAATTAACCTGCTGCATTAACGGGATCAGGTTGGGTCGTGAAACAAAGTGGTTCAAATTGGGGACCATCGTTAAAAAAATATGCCGTAAAGAGTGATGCTGCTTGTGCGCAGACATGCAAGGTACAAATCGGCCATGCAGAGTCAGATTTTTCATGAAGCAAAGTTAGCTTTTTGAGTTAGGTGCAAATTTAACAATTTTTTTTTTAAATGAAATTCTTATATTTTCCTCAGTAAACTCTTGCAAAGATATAAACTCAAATCGGGAGCTGATAAAGCGAGAACTACCTGTATACCTTAATCTGTCTTTCTGGATGTGTTACATTGTTGGGCATTTGGGCTTGGGCCCTTCACTGTTACTTTTAAAGGCACTTGAGTTTAGCTCCATAGTACATTTGTTAGAATTTCAAAAGCTGCCCTTTGACCATGTGAAATGTCGCCCTCTACAGTGATGGATGTTTTATGTCACATATCACCTACATTTTTTGGAATTTCATTTGTAGGTGGGGTGGGGGTGGATTCTGATAGCACTTAGTACCTGTTTTTAGTAAGAGATCAACTGCTGATGAGCCTTGACCTTCATAAATACTGTTGGTACTTCAGACTATTTTTATATAATTATGCAGTATTTTGTGTATATTTTTAATTTTTCCTTTCATGTTCTTTTAAATTGGAAACCTTGTATGTTGTAAGACCAAAATAAACATGGGGACTGGACTATCAGCTTGTCTTGAGGTTTCTTATTGGTGCTTCTTGTTTTCACGTTGAATGCCGGCTGTGCTGGTAATTCTCGCATTTCTCACTCGTCCTCGGGGCAGCCTCGCACAGCGGAGCTCCACGCTCACCGTCAGCTTGGGAAGTTTTTTAATGTCGACTCTTCCCAGAAGCTGCGCTCAGTGACCGTGCCTCTCGGTGAGCGAGCGGCTGATTGAATTGGAGGAAGTGGACGTCATTTCCCCAGGAAGCATCCAGGGGAAGCCCTGCAGTTTGGAGGCCCAACTCCTGACGGACAGATGCAGAGGAGACACAGCCAGGGGAAGCGAGGGATCTGCCTGCCTTTTGTCCCGCAGCTGGAGGCCGGTGCCCATCCTGGGAAGGGGCTCCTGAGCAACCGGTTTGGACTGGTTCTGCTGTGCTGGCGAAATGGGCCTTCGTGCAGCAGGCTTGGGTTTGCTCATATGCGTTTTGTCTTGTCGGTCCCAGAAGCTGGACCCAGATGGAAGGAATGTCTGCCTGTATCGAAGGTGCTCTTTTACTCTTTTTCTTCTCACCTTCTTGCCTTCTGCTGATGTGAACACACTGGCCTGTCCGCTGCCTTTTCGATAAACGGCCTGTTTCTGCTTTTCCTCTCCGGTGAGCAGTGACCCCACGTCGCCCGTCTGCTGTTCTGGCTGGAAGCAGGAAGGCAGCGATTGCCCGACAGGTGAGTCCCGCTCGCCTCCCGCCGCCCATTTCCCGCCCCGTTGTTGCCCTTGCCGTCCTGTGACTGCCCCACCTTCCCGCTGCCCCCCACCCACAGCTCTGTGCGAGGGTGAGAGTGCCTGTCAGCCCAGTGAGATCTGTGTGTACCCCGGCTTCTGTCGCTGTAAGGCCGGCTTCTACGGGGCCAGCTGCCGGACCCGTAAGTGATCACTGTCCACCCTGTGAATATGATGCCCTTATTTTTAAGCTCGTTATGACTGAGTTATACGCGCATGCACATATCAAATCGCTCACTGGTGTTACCTAAGTGCATGCTGGAGATTTTATAGACGCCCTTTTGGCCGCGATCCTGTTGCTGAAAAGAAAATGAAAGACAGTAAAGCTGACTGCATTGAAATTGAATCCAGAGTCATGGTTTGTGTGTGTTTGCAGTCGCCTCTTGTATTTTCAGCTAGTTCTCCATGTCCCGTGTCTCACTGCGTCTGTCATTGTCCCCCCCTTATTTGTCTGTGTCTCACTGTATTGTCCTGTACCTCCCTGTATTTCACCCTGTCTTCCCGTGTCTCTCCCCTTGTCTTCCTGTGTTTCACCGTGTCTTGTATCTCCCTGTGTTTTCCTGTCTCCCCATATATGGTGCTCCGTCCCTATGTCTTCTTGTATCTCCCCTTGTTTTCCCTTGTCCCCCCTTGTCTTTGTGTCTCACTGTATCGTCCCGTACCTCCCCGTATTTCACTGTGTTTCTCCTTGTTTTCCTGTTTCTCCACTTATCTGGCTCTCTCTCCCTATATCTCCGTGTGTCTGGCTCTCTCTCCCTATATCTCCCTGTGTCTCCCTGTATCTGGCTCTCTCTCCCTTTATCTCCCTGTGTCTGGCTCTCTCTCCCTATATCTCCCTGTGTCTGGCTCTCTCTCCCTATATCTCCCTGTGTCTGGCTCTCTCTCCCTATATC